TATAGACATTTTAACAAGATTAGGTCTTTCAGTCCATGAACATGAGATATCTTTCCATTTATTTGTTTCTCCTTTAATTTTTTCTTCAGTGTTTTGTGGTTTTCTGTGTACAAGTCTTTTGTGTACTTGGTTAAATTTATTCCTAAGTATTTTATTCTTTTTGAGGCTATTGTACTGAGATTGTTTTCCCAATTTCCCTTTTAGATGGTTCATTGCTAGTGTATAAAAAAGCCACTGATATTTGTATGTTGATTTTGTATCCAGCAACTTTACTGAATTTGTTTATCAGTGCTGACAGTTTTTTGGTTGAACTTTCCTTTTGGTTAAAATTTCCTACATATAGGATCATGTCATCTGCAAACACAGATAATTTTATGCCTTCCTTTCCAATATGCATGTTTTTTTTTTTTTTTCTTATTTAATTGCTCTGGCTAAAACTTCTGGTACTGTGTTACACAGAAGTGGTAAGAGTGGGAATCCTTGTCTTGTTCTTGAACTTAGAGAGATGCTTTCAGTTTTTCACTGTTGAGTATAATGTTAGCTGTGGGGTTGTCAAATATAACCTTTATTATATTGAAGTAGATTCTTTCTATACCCAACTTGTCAAGAGTTTTTGTCATGAGAGGGTACTGAAATTTGCAAAATGCTTTTGCTACATCTATTGAGATGATGATGTGATTTTGATCATTCCTCAATATGGTTTATAACTTTTATGCTTTGTCTTTTAAATCTTACGAAATAATAAAAATTAGAGTTATAGCCCAAAATTGTTATAATTTTTTATATTTGTCCATATATTTACCTGTAGCAGAGAACTTTATATTTTTTTATGGTTCAAGTTACTGTTTAGCATCCTTTGTTTCAACTTGAAGGACTCCCTTTAGACTTTTTTGTAGTGCAGATCTAGAGATAATAAATTCATTCAGCTTACGTATAGCTGGGAATTCCTTAATTTCCCCGTCATTTATGAAGAACAGAGCTGCAACGTATAGTATTCTTAGTTGACAGATTTTTCTTTCAACACTTTAAATATATCATTTATATATATCATATATGTAAATAAACATATCAGGCCACTACCTTCTGGGCTGCAAGGTTTATGTTGAGAAAGCTGCTGATAATCTTATTGAGGCTCTCTTGTAAGTGATAAGTTGCTTTCTGCTTGTTGCTTTCAAGATTCTCTCTTTGACTTTTTTTCATTGAGGTATACTTGACATATAACATTATATTAGTTTCAGATACACAACATAATGATTTGACATTTGTATACACTGCAAAATGACCACCACAGTAAGTCTAGTTACCATTCATCACCATACAAAGTTACGAATATGTTTTCTTGTCATGAGAACTTTTAAGATTTACTCTCTTGGCAACTTTGTCTTTGACTTTTGATAGTTTGGTTATAATGTGTCTTGGTGTGTATCCCTTTGGGTTTATCTTAGGTGGAGCTTATTAAACTTCTTGTATTTGTGTATCCACGTCTTTCCTCAAATTTGGAAAGTTTTCAGTCATTATTTCTTCAAATGATCTCTCTGACCCTGTCTCTTTTTCTTCATCTTCTAGTATTGCCATAATGCATATATTGACCTGCTTGATGGTGTCCCATAAGTCCTTTAGGCTCTGTTCAATTTCTTTCATTCTTTTTCCTTTTTGCTCCTCAGTCTTGATAATTTCACATGACTTGTCTTCAAGTTCACTGATTCTAATTCCTGTTTGTGTCTGCTACTGAACCTTTCTAATGAACTTTTCAATTCAGTTTTGTGTTGTTCAGCTCTAGAAATTTTGTTTGACTCTTTTTTATAATTTCTATCTCTTTGTTGATATTCTCATTTTGTTCATATATCATTTTACTTATTTCATTTAATTGTCTACCCATTTTCTCCTTTAATTCACTGATCATATTTAAAACAGTTGTTTAAAATTCTTTTTTAAGTCTCAGTCCTGTGTATCTTTAGGGTAAGTTTCTGGAGATATATTTTGTTCCTTTGAATAGGCTATGTTTACTTGTTTCATTGTATACCTTGTCATCTTTGTTGAAAAATGGGCATCTGAAATAATAGCCATCTCTCCTAGTTTTTGCGGACTGGCTCCATGCAGGGGAAGACCTTTACTATTCAGCTCCATGGGAAGGTTCAAGGTCCTCTCAGGCCGTTTTTAGGCTTATGTCTTCCCTGGGCTGTGCATGTGCTTTCCTTCCAATTCTCCCTCAAACAAAGCTGCTTTTAAATGCATTTGTTTCCCCAAGAATCTCACTCTGGTTCTTCTCGGGGCCTTGGATGATCTATTGTATTACTCTCTCCATAATCTCTTGCCCCCTGGTGCCCATGGGTCTGTAGTCCCCATGTAGCTCTCACGTGCTAGAGCACCTACCACTGCTTTTAGTGGCCTCAAACCTGATATCCATTCTCATCAATGTTCCAAATCAGATGAGACAGAAACAAATCCCTTGGGCACCCCTACACAAGCCAGAATATTGAAGCAGTTCCACTCCTTTCTTCCAGTTTGAAGGAGTAACTGGGAACTGGGCAGCTTCCTCCTGACCATGCCACACCACAATGGGGGTGGGATGGGGGGAGAACAAGCAAAGGTGTCATCAAATTGCCTACTGTTTGGAGTGTGGCTTTTTCTTGGTTTTGGCATTTGCTTGTTGCCTCAGCTTCTTTATTAGTTTCTAGAGTTCCCACAAAGCTACTTTCATCTTTATGTTGTTGTTTCTTTGATATTTTCATGGAGGGATGAGGGTGGAAACTTCCTAGTCTGCCATCTTGCTGATGTCATTCTTAGTAAGCAGGAGAACGGTTTTTTTTAAGACATAATATTCAAATAATATTTTGACCAGATACAAAATTCTAGTTCAAAAATATTTTTTCCTGAATATTGGTTCATAGCATCTCATCTGAAACTCTTGGAACAGGTGCATTTTGGAATGCATTATTTTAAGGACTTTGGAAAGTCTATTTAGTGCATATACTTTATATACTGCATTACAAAGTGCCCCAGTGGAGATAAGATTAGCACCCCAAGATGAAATGCATTATTATTTCTAAACAAACCATATGACTACTTACACTAAAATGGAATGAATAATACAGACTATAAATAACCACATATCACTTCACATCATCTTCATAATTTGCAAATATATTTTGTTGCTGCACTTCCCTCCCAACCCTCATCCCATGTGACCCCCCAAAAGAAAAATCTTTTTATTTTTGTAGTTTAATGACTTTTGAAATTACAAGTATGAAATTTTGGACCAGTACTAAATAAAAATCACTCTCTTGTCCTGCTGCAGACAATTTGGCCATAGAGAATCAATTTCAATCAAATCTTTATAGCTTTGTAGGTGTTCTACTCACTATTTCCAGAAGCTTTCAGAATTTTCACTTTAATATTTTTAAGTTTCACTACAATGTGTCTTTGTGTTGACTTTTCCTTCACTCTACGGGCCTGACCAATCTGAGTATGCTCATGTTCTCACATGAAACAGCAATTCATAGCCCTAAGAATTTGAACACCCAATTATACGAAAGGTACATAAACACATACTCCTTAAACTAAAGGAACTCATGAATTTAAACAGAAAATTGGAATCCAGTCCATGCACTGACTGCCATCAAGGAGGGGCACAAGGTGCTAAGAGGTCCAGAGGAGTGAAACTTATTCCAATATGGGTTCTGGTAGCTTTCAGAAGACAAAGCCTCAGCTGAGCATTGAAGGCTGTAAAGAGGTAGTCAAAGGAAGAAAGAGAGGAATGGCTTTCCAGGCAGCAGAAAAGGAACTAGTAAAGTCACAAGGCTTGAAAAAAATTAAAAGAGGTATATTGTATATTTCTAGAGTATAAGATAAGAAAATACAAAAGTAACAGAAGTAAAAATGCAATAGATTATTAAGGCCTTTCAAGCTATGCTAAGAAGTGGAAATTTTTATTAAATAAAAGGGAAAACTATTGAAGAATTTCAGGAAAGATACAGCCATGCTTTTATAAAAAGATGTTCGGTTGTCTGACAATAACTATTTAGTGAAAATAAAACTAGAAGGAAGAAAATAAATGCTTGTTAAAATTCAAGACCAGGGGCCAGTCCAGTGGCATAGCAGTTAAGTTCTCGTGCTCCGCTTTGACAACCCGGGGTTCACAGGTTCAGACCCTGGGTGCGGACCGATGCACCACTTGTCAAGCCATGCTGTGATGGCATCCCATATAAAGTAGTGGAAGATGGGCATGGATGTTAGCCCAGGATCAATCTTCCTCAGCAAAAAGAGAAGGATTGGCAATGGCTGTTAGCCCAGAGCCAATCTTCCTCACCAAAAAAAAAAAAAAAAGACCAAAATACAAATGCTGTAATTCTTCACTAGGGAGAGGATAGAAGTCCAGCAAAATGGTGACATGAGCATAGAGGACACAAAGAATATAGTTCAAGCCCCAGGGATGTTAACGACAGCTGACCAGGGGAGAGCCAAGTGGATTAGGGTAGGAATCCTAGCTTGGAACTGTACTACTGTGTCAAAAAGATGGTCACAGATGTTGATATTCACAAATACAGCCCTATTTATACATAGGCCACTTAAGTCACAGTGGGTGTGAGAAGAGTCAGGAACCAAAAGGCTGACATTCAGGGATAGATTCCAGTCCCAATAAAGGATGTGAAGAGGAACCAGGGACTCTGATGCTACAAAGCCCATAGTCTAAACACTGTAACAATTATCTGTTTCTGGACCTACTTCCATCACAATCACCCAGGACCAACTCAACTATCATCATTAATAAGGAAGAATTTTTTAGACCTTTCTAATACAGCATTTGTCAACCAATTTTCCACAATGACATATCTGTTAATTAAGTTCCTCTTTGTCACATACAAGGAGTGTCACACCCAAGGACTACACTTTTACGTGAGCCACTCCCTCACATAGACATTAACTGTCTTTTAAATTGTCTGTATAAATGTGTAACACTGTGTTATTTTTCTCTTGTAGTCTCGTCCACAAATTGAGAGATGGTGAATGCATGTAAGAGAACTGTACTGCTGAAAGGATTAGAGCCCATCAGTGATTATCATTTCAGCATGGTTAAGTCTTTACTGGCCGATGATTTAAAACTGACTACAAAAACTCAAAAAGAATATAATAAAATTCAGATTGCTGACTTGATGGCAGTAAAGTTCCAAGGAGCTGCCTGTGTTGTCAAACTGATAGAATTGTATAAACACATAGGAGAACTCAAAGAACTTGTTAAAATTCTTAAAAATGAAAAGTTAAAAGGTAATGAGAAAGAACTCTTCACTTTTACTCTTTCTGCACCATCCTCAACCTTGATTAGAACCCTGACTTAGTTATAGTTGAAACATCTCTTTCCCAATTTAGGACTCAGTAGCCATGGCAATGGTGGTACTTCAGATGCCAACAAGTTAACAATTTAGGGCATCCCCTTTCCTATAAAGGGGATTGATGTATGTTGGAAGGTGTATCTGGGGTGAGGATAAAGAACAAAAGACAGGGAGTTGACGAGAGGCTGAGGCTTCTAGTATGTTAGAAATGCTAGAAAATGACAAAAGAATAAATTAAGAATTGCGGTTCATTTAAAAACATTTACATTTAACCAATTAATGTGCCTGTTCTATTAGGCACATTTGCTCCATGATCATTATCCCCTCTAATAACAGATTCACAGCAGTACTTAACATAAAAACCTACCTCCAAGAGATGTGAAGAACTTACCCTCTTGTAAAATAACTGAGTAAAACCAAAAGTTTTAAAATTTCAGAGGCCAATATCACCATTTTGTCACCTCACAAATCCATGTCATATTTTCTTTTATGGGTTTCTGTAATTTTAACAGATGTTTTATAGAACATGACCAACCAGTCAGCATCATGAAAACCTTAGATTTTATTAAAAGGAAGTGATAGGGGAACAGAGTTGGGAAAGAGTTTGACTGAGGTACGTGGGAGTCAGAAGGACAAGAAGGACATGCTTACTGCTCAGGGAGTGAGTACGAAAACCACTGAGGAAGCATGAGACAGTCTTCCTGCCTGTGTTTTTAGTATTGGACCCCTTGTGCCAGGCCAGTTCAGTCAAGGTAGACAAAAGTGTACCTAGACCCACAGGCAGGAGCTGGGAGAAAATAACATTGAAACTGCTTCAGCTGTCTTAGACCAGATGCTCTGTGTTTATGATGTCCTCTTTGTTTTTGCATCAGTTGCGATGAAAATGAGAAAAAAAGTATTAACTCCTTTGGAAAGGAGAAGTCAAGAAGCAGCAGGTGCTGCTACACCTGCACCCACCACAAGTGGAGATCTGACATCTGAAAGAGCAGAGGAGACTCCTGTGGCTCAGGTAAGCTTGAGGAAGAGAAGCAGGCTGGAAGCCTCACAGAAGAAACTCCGCTATGGTACTTGGCTCTTTATTAATATTTCAACAGCTCAGATTTACCAAGTTGAGGAATTAAGGACCATTTATTTGGTGCCAGACAAAGAGCAAGGCACTATAAAAATTTCTATGACATAAATATGATGACATAATCCCCATTATCAAGATGAGTTAACAATCAGATTGGAAATATATCTTGGCCATGCTTTCATAAACCTAGATTTTCTAATTCCAAGACCAGTGCTCTTCCCATCACAACACAGAGGTGATTAGAGAAGTAATGTTTCCTTTTAAGCCAACCATCCCTCTTTTAATACTACCATCTATGTCCACTCTTACCTACTGGCCAGCTCTTTAGGTGATGGGTTGGAACTCCATGGAGTTTCCAAGGACACCACATTTCATATAAATAGAACGAACTACAAAGTAATGAAAATATGTTCTGCTTCTTTAAATACTGAAAACCATTAACAGGAAAATTAAATTACTTTCAGAAAAGAAAAAACACAACCAAAGAAAATACTGGAACAAAAAGGAATAAGGTGACCCAGGAGCAGATTCAGCCTATCCTTCAGTAGCCAGCTTATCTGCAACCATGGGCGGTCCACCATCTCTCCAGATCTCATCATCAACTCCATCCTCCACTTCATTAACTGAGGTACACACTTCCTGTTTCTCTTTTCCAAGTTTTCTTCAACCTAGGAATAGTGCAGTCCACAGTTACTGTTGTTAGTCTCAAGTATAACTCTTGTTACTGATTAACTGGCTTTGGCAAAGGTGTTTCCCTTGTTAGGGTAAACTGGTAACGCTGATGAGAAACCACATCCAAGTAAAGTCTAATCATTCATAGGAGATTGTCATATGTAATATCTCAACTCAGACCACTCTAAGTACGTCTGGTCTGTGGAGTTAAACAGTGTGGCTCCATGTTCTATGGACTCATGATCCAGCTTTGCCTGCTATACTTCCTATTACAGATAAAACAGCTTCATGAAAGTACTCTGCTGCAGCTCAAATAAACCAGGCCACTGTGGAGAAAGGAGATTAGAGGTAAACAAACCTGTCCTCTGTTTTTCTGTTAGCATCCCAGCCATTGGGAAATGCTGTGGATACACAGTGGAGGACTTGGCTCTAATTAGATATCCCTTACCTGAGCCAATTTAGAATAGGGAATATGAGCCACTACATGTCTTTCTCATCACTTGTAATAGCAGAACACTATTTCTTGGGAGGAGGCAATATGAGTCGGACTCTCAAAATGGCCCTAGGTACACCAGGGATAACTGAAAACCCTAGTGTTTGTTGCTTGTAGTGGGCACCGTTGTCCATTTTCAATGCTATCCAAGTTGTTGTTTCACTCTTTTTATTTCCATCAGTCATTTAAGTGGGTAAAGGATATATTTGAATTTACTATTATATTTTAATCTATCTCTTACGTACTTCCTCAATGGCAATGGCCTTATCATCCACAGCCGTGTGCTGCTCTTGCGGAGGATCATGCTTTAATTCAGAAAGATTATTCTGTTTAAATGAGTGTGTTCTTAACATCCATGCCATTTTCTGCTACCTTATACTTCTGCTGGCTAAGCTATACCAGTTCATTAGTCTTTCCTTTCTGCTAAGCAATTCCTTTCTAGCCTGGTCCCAGCTCCAAATATCTGTGAAGGTTGTTGTGCCCGAATGTTATGATTGAGGTTTTAGTCATGAGAAAGTAACTTTGTATTCCTTGCTCAAACTTGTAAGTTTATTTTCCTATTTCTGTCCAACACAGAATCAGATAATGTAAATCCAATGCCAGGTAGCTGCCAGAAGGAAATGTTCTTCCAAAGGGCCCAATGACAGTGATGATACTGAAAGCAACAGAGCCATTCTAATATGACTCCCCAGAAAAGGGAAAAAACACAATTTTCATGCTACTGTGGGCTAGTGTGATTTTTTCCAAGTGAAGGTTTTAATTTTTCCAAGTGAAGGTTTTAAACACCAACTTGAAAGAGAAATTCACACAAAAAAAGATCATTGCCATATCAGATTACTTTGAATGGAAAGGAATCCTGGAGATAAATGAAGCATCACCTGTGTCTGAAGCTGGTATTGATCAAAAGATTGAGGTCCCTAACAACATTATCAAAAGAGCAAATGAAACTCCCAAGATTGATAATCTTTACAAGCAAGCATCAGGAACATTTGTGTATGGGTTGTTTGTGTTACATCAGGTAATCCCTTAAAATTGTTTTTCATTTTCTCCACCAACACCTGAAAGTAAGCCTCTTCGCTTGCCAAAGTCTGCTTGCTGATTGAATATTGGAACCCAGGATCCTCTTCTGACTAGAGGTAGGTGGTCAAGTTTCCACACAACAGGAAATGGGACCTATTACCGTTCATCTACCCAAGATACCCCCTTGGAATTTCTTTGAAAAAGATTCACTAAGAAATCTTATCATCATTATATTATCTATTCTCAGCCACAATGAGCAAAGACAGTGCAGGGTCTAGATCAATAGGGACATGCTAGTAATTTTATCTCCTTAAGCTCCAGTTCCAACTGGAGCTCACAGAATTTTATTTTGAATTTTTATAAATTTATGTTGAAGAATGGATTGCTTTCCCAAGTTTGAATTCTGGATATGTATTCAAAGTAATAAATGGATTGTCTTATTTTCTCCTAGACACAAATACATTCAACAGCTAGTCATCTGCTCTAACCAATCAGTGCTGTCTCCTCTTATTCGTTTATCATAACGAGATTATTGAAGAACAGAGAAATATTGAATTGCATGGTACTAGGAAGATAACGTAGTTTGATCCTGTCATTTACAAACCAAAAAATAAACAGGCACAGAGAATGTTACTGATATGTCCATGTCCAAATTCAGGGTAGTAGTTAGTAAAATTCATCCAGCACTTTCCTCCACCAAAATTTAAGCTCTGCTATAAACTCTATAAGCATTTTACCTGATTGACTGCTACATAAATCCATTATATCTGTCTTCTAGGACAGCTCCTTAATTTTGCCTCTCTTATTTCCTTACACTCTCTTTAAGAGATCATGCTTATAAATGCAACTATAGCATTGATGAGTAATAGCTCAGGTGTGTGAGACACTGTAGAGTGTGCATTAAGGGAGCTAGTCAATGAGGACAAGATATTGAAGGAGAGTGAATGAATGAGAAGGGTTGAAAAAGAATTAGTGAGTTACAGAAGTTTGCTTCTTATAAATTCCTTATGATCTACTGAAAGATTGTTGTAACAGATGTTCTTTTATTTCTCTACAGGGCTGGAGCCAAAGAAACCCACCAAAGATTTCTAATTCCTCAGTACCCAGGTGCTTTAAATAATCTCAGCTGCCTTGAAGGTGGGATCAGAAGAAATAGAAAGACAATTCATTGTTCTAGAATTACCAGGCGGCAAAACACCTAGAGTAGCAAAGGCTAGAAAGCAAGATAATAAGAGGATGGCCCTCAGGGCTGGACCAGTGGCGTGGTTAAGTTTACGCACTCCACTTTGGTGGCCTGGGGTTTCCTGGTTGGGATCCTGGGTGCGGACCTATGCACTGCACATCAAGCCATGCTGTGGCAGCATCCCATATACAAAATAGAGGAAGATGGGCACAGATGTTAGCTCAGGGCTACTCTTCCTCAGCAAAAAGAGGAAGCTTGGCAATGGATGTTAGCTCAGGGCCGATCTTCCTCACCAAAAGAAAAGGATGGCCTTCTGAGATGACCTAGCCCAAGTTACATATGTATCTCTACCTGCTGTTACTATTATATGTATTGTATTTACTCTATTGTGAAGCTCTTTCTCTTATATATGGCAGTTACTAATTATGCTTTCAGAAACTGAATGTTAATCTTTTTCAGAAAAGAGTGAATAAGAAGAACACAATCTATGAAATACAGGATAATACAGGAAGGATGGATGCAGTGGGGATTGGAAAAGGGCACAACATCAAGTATGAGGAAAGATAAACTTCAACTCTTCTGCTTTCAACTGAGAACAATAGACCAGAAGCTGAAACTGACATGTGGAGATCACAGTTTCATTGAGGTGGGAACTGGATGGAGGATCATTAATTTGCCAAAGAGGCAAATAATTTAGTTTAGGTTATGAGAGTACTAGATCCTGTTTTCTTACACAGAGAGTCCAGTAGGTGGGAGGAGAACACAAACAATGCCCTTGCATTCACTTGTAAGTGGAGGATTATTAAAAAAGATATTAAAGAAATAACATCTATATAGGTTTTGAAAGGATATGACATCTGTGCTCGTTGATTAAAAGGTTTGTATAAATTAGCAGGGTAAGAAATAATTTAATATAGTGGTCAAGAGCAGGACTTTGAATAGAACAAACCTGATTTGAATCTTCGCTTCAGCAATCACTAGTTGCCTGATATTGGAGAAATAGGTTAATTGGTCCTCTAAAATGGTAAAAATTTCTACATCATAGGGTTGGTTTAAAAGTTAACAAGACAATGCATACACATTACTTATCTCACTGTCCTTACACGTAATAAGAAATTAATCTGCAGTAGGTATCATTTTTCTTAGCAAGGTAAAGACATTGGAAAGAGTTCTGGGCAAAAGAAATGGCACATGCAAATATTGAAAAGCATGAAACAGTATAAAGAGTTTTGTACAACTGAAATTCAGTAACGTGGAAAGATGAGGCCAGAGGGTTAAAAAAGGGACAGATGTGTAGCCTTTTGTCTGAGATATAGAAATGAAAAATTCATTGTGAAAATAAGTAACACAAGATTTTATGCAGAAGAATGCTTGATCACTTTAACATTTTAGCAAAAAATATTCTGATGAGTATCTAGAGGAATACATTAGGGAGAGAATAAGTTTGAAGGTAGAGATATTGACTGGAAGCAACAGGGTGCTGGATCCAATCATTCCCTAAGAAAAGAGAGCTGATGTTTAAATATTCAGGAATTATATTAGTTGTTTGGTGAAACTTTGGCAGTTTGAAATCAGCCAAGGTGGAATTATTTATACCACCCAAATTTGCAAATGCTAATAATCAAGACTTTTTTAAAGTTGGGGAGCTAACTTACCAGGACACCACAGAAAACAATTTTAGAAGTCTATTTAAGAAGGGGAAAGACTAGGAGAGCTTGGATTAATGGCAGAGAAAAAGGACTTTTTGAAGGTTGAGCATCATGATTTTGTGACTAATTAAGTGATGATGGTGAAAAGAGAAAAGATTCAAGAAACATTCAAGGATACTTCAAGAATATTGTATAGCCAACTGGATAAATGGTGCTACTATTTACTAAGATTGACAATGCAGGAAAAGAACATGATCCAGGGAATGAAAATGTGTTCTGCTTTGAACAGGATGAGTTTGAGGTGTGTATTAGATATCCAAGAAATATCTATCCATCAATATGGAGATTTGTAGATCTGGAACAAAAAAGTAATTTATGCTGGAGATATATGTATTTGTCAGTTTAGAGATAATTGTTAAAGTTATGAGTTTGGGTGATATTGCTTGAAAGAAATAATAATATAATAATATTTACCTTTGTGCTAATAGAAAACCCTGAGCACTCAGTATGTGCTAGGAAATATTCTAAGTAGTGTAAGAAATTAGCTCAACTAATCCCTACGAGAGATAATAATGAAGATACAATCATTATTCCTGTTTCATAGAAATAAATATAGATGCTCATAATTGTCACAGCCAGTAAGTGGTGGAACTGAGATTTCAACCCAGGCTGGCTGGCTCCAGAATGTAGATTCCTAGGCAAGACAAACAAGAAGATCAGATAGATAACAGTAAAGCCATGGAAAAGACTAGTATATATTTGGGAGTGGCCAGAGGTGAAAGGCTACTACCATGAGAATGAAAGGAAATGAACAGAGAAGTCAAAGGAAAACTGAAAAATATATGTAATAATCATCAAAAAGAAGTTTAGTGAGAAGGAGTGTCAAGACTTCTCATGCCAGACAGAAATTAGTAAGGGAGTCCCAGAGTCTTGGAAAACTGCATCTCAGAGCACAAGGTGCCCGTCCTTGGCTGAAATGCACATCCTCGCCAACAGGAGAAAGTTGTGGTTGACTCTAAATGGCATCACACTACCTTTCTTGCATCCAAAAAACACACAACACAGAACATGTGTTTCTCGATAACACTAATCAACGCTAAATTTAAATACAAATGATTCAAATGGAAATACTGACATAATCAGGCACACAGACATACACATGAACACAATTTAGTCCACTTCTCAGATTCACTAATTCAGCAATCCCTGTATTCTAATCTAAGAACAGCAGTTGCATCATGAAAAATTTTAATCTACTGTAATCTCCCAACATTCTGCCTAATTAGGACCTCCCTGCAATGCCTTACACTGAGTGAATAGCCATTCCCACTGTCCTGTGGTTTTCTCTCACTTCTTTTGTGGAACTCCTGCCATGTTCAAATGTAAAAATGAGAAACTATCTCTTCACAGGCTCCAGACCATGGCTGGGGGAAAAACTCAAAAGATGGTAATTAGTTAAAGATATGGGTGAGAAAGAAAGAATAGCCTTAGAGAGTGTTCAAGGGGGAATGACTGGCCCTTGGATAAGGGATACACTGTGGGAAAAGGGAGAAATATAAGCAGAGCCTCATGTCAATTGCTAGAATCTCATTATGTCTTTCTTATCTCTCCTTCAAGTTTATCAAAGCCAGAAAAGCAAAGAAAAGACTAATCAATTTTAATTTAAATCTGGAAGTTGAAGTGAAGGACCCTCCTGCAATCAATTAAGTGGTGTTGACACTGATTTTGTAAAAGTTGAGATTTTCATTTAAACAATAGATTCAGTAGAAATAGCCCATCATATATGTGTTTTAAAATCTGAGTTGTATGCTAGGTTGCTTTCTTTTTTAAAAATTTCTTCTCACTCTCCTGTATTTTCAAAGAATACTACAGTTTGCATCTATAACATCCATAAGGCAAATATATAAAATTTCTTTTGTAAAGGGCATTGTCTGCCAAAGTGTCAGATATGGTCTCTTTAATCCAGAAGTGAGCTGTTTGAGGGTGGTTGATTTGTACATGTGAGTCACACAGGGCGGGGCACACAGGGCCTCATCAACAGTGGGATCTACATTCTGATTGTGATTTCCAGAAAACAAGGCCCTAACCATGGCCTTGTCTAAGATTATGCAGATTGATCCCACAGCCCATGTTCAAATCAATAAACCCTGTGCCCTAAGGAAAACATGTATTTGAACCACAGAAAATAATTCCTTTTTGCAGTTATATGCCCAGAAGGGGAACATTTGGGTAGCTGGTTTCTCTTCAGGAAGCACCATTGGTGATTTGCACAAAGGTACCAATATTTACAACAAGCTTCCCTATCTCTAGCTTGTGTGGAATATCTAGTCCCATTTATCTGATTTGTAGATACAGCTCATTATTAGTTCTCCAATTATGTTTTCTTATTGTCACATTTTTAATGTGGGGACACACAAAGACAAAAGGCAATGAATAGTGAATTAAATCTACTCTCAGTGAATTAAATCTATTCTAAGTGATAGTAAATATCACCTAAAGAAATTAAATATCTGAAATCAATATTTAAAATATAGCTGTTGACTTCTGTTTCTGGTGATTGCAGAGTAGTCTGCCACCACAAAGAAAAACATAACTCAATAAAATAACATGAGGTGACAGTTTCCAGGCTTTGGACAATAGGCAGCATCAGCATAGATCCCTTATAGAAGAGAACTCAGAAGGTGGGCTTTATAATTCCCGAGATCTCTACCTTGGAGGATTTCCTGACTGCAGGCTAGTGAGCAGGTCTCAAAGCAGAGCATGGCAGTCACACTGGGCCAAAGGGGTAAACATCAGTTTTCATGGCACCTAAATAGCTGGATCTAGAGAGAAGGGAGCTATACAAAGGGGTCCCCATCTATTGGCTGAGTCCTGGGTTGCACATATAGAGGTTGAGGTAAAATGAAGCCTGCCACAGAGCTTCAGAGGGTTGAGAACAGAACAGAGGTACAGGAGAGCAAACAGTGCTGGCAACATTGGATGTTGTTAGAATAGAGACACATCTCTAGCACCTGGGCATCAAACTAACAAAACAGAGAGGTTGTACATGAGGAGTAAACAACATACACTAGACTAAGGACAACTCTAGACCCATCCTAACAAAGCCTGAAACCAAGCCTCAACCTGATTCAGAAAAAATATATGAATATGAGGGGTTTTTTCCCAGCTTTATTTAGATATAATTGACATATAACATTATGTAAGTTTTGGTGTATAAAAGGATGATTTGATATATGTATATATTGTGAAACAATTACCACAACAAGATTAGTTAACACCTCTATCACCTCACACAATTACATTTTGTGTGTGTGTGGTGAGAACATTTAAGATCTACTCTTAGAAACTTTCAAGTATATAACACAGTATTGTTAACTATAGTCACCATGCTGTACATTAGATCCCCAGAACTTATTCATCTCATACCTAGAAGTTTGTACCTTCTGACCAATATCTTCCCATTTCCTTTACCCCCAACCCCTGGTAACCACCAATCTACTCTCTGTTTCCATGAGTTTGACACTTTTGGATTCTACATATAAGTAATATCACATAGTATTTGTTTTTCTCTGAGTTATTTCATTTAGATGCCCTAAAGTTTCATCCATGTTGTCGCAAACGGCAAGATTTCTTTCTTTTTTGTGGCTGAATAGTAATCCACATGTGTTAGGTTACGAAGCAAGTCTTAGAAAATTTAAGAAGATTGAAATCATACCAAGTAGTTTTTCTGAACCCAATGGTATGAAAATACAAATCAATTACAAGAGAAAAAACAGTAGAAAAAACAGTAGAAATTGATGCTGAGATAGCCTAGTATTGTATTTAGTAAAGTCTATAAGGCAACCCATAAATATTTGCAAAAATCTGAAATAAAATATGTTCACCTAATTATAGGCAAATATCATCTAGATAAGTGAACAGATAGGGAGACTCAAAGAGAACTAAATTGCAATTCTGGAACTGAAAAGTTTAATAACTGAAATGAAAAAGTCATTGAATCGGCTTAACAACAAAGGGAAGAGGGCAAAAGAAAGAATAAGTGAACTCCTATACTGATCAATTGGAATTATCTAATAGGAAATACAGAAAGAAAAAAATGAACCTAACCTAAAGAATAATGGGCCAATAGCAACAAGTCTAAAATATGAGTAATAGGAGTCCCAGAAGAAGAGAATAAAAATGAAGAAGAAA